GCCCCCTACATCGTGCTTCTTGTGAAGCGCCCCCTACATCGTGCTTCTTGTGAAGCGCCCCCTACATCGTGCTTCTTGTGAAGCGCCCCCTACATCGTGCTTCCTGTTAAGCGCCCCCTACATTGTGCTTCTTGTGTAGCGCCCCCTACATCGTGCTTCTTGTGAAGCGCCCCCTACATCGTGCTTCTTGTGAAGCGCCCCCTACATCATGCTTCCTGTGAAGCGCCCCCTACATCGTGCTTCTTGTGTAGCGCCCCCTACATCGTGCTTCTTGTGAAGCGCCCCCTACATCACACGTCTAGTGCCCCCACAATTCTCTGGTCAGCACTAGTTTGTCGTATCGATAACTCGAAAAACAACGATGAAATAATGCAGTAAATGAATAAAGTCGTGATTTTTCTTGCCGACGCTAGAAATTCATAAAAACGTCGGCAGACGAGAGCGTTATGAAATTTCAGCAATTTTTTTCTCTCCCCGCAGCAACCGGCAAGATGGCCGCCGTCGGCGTCGCAGCGCGGACGAAGAAGAAGAAGCAGAAGTCTCTGTTTCCGCTGACGAGCAATCAGGAGAACCGCGGCAAGATGGCGGCGTACGCCGACCTCACGCGGCTCGCGGAGGCGTTGTACGGTGAGCCGCCGCGACGACGCTCTCTTGTTTGTTTTTGCGCGTCACTCGTCAGTTTTTGTTTCGAGCTCAGGAGCGATCATTTCGCGGCGAGACTTCGTCCTTTCACTTGATATTGCGTGCCTGTGTTTGCAAATTAGTGGTGGGTTACCCCCTAAAATTTGCTAGATTGACTGGACTAATGTGTGTTTTCATGTGAAGTACACGTCATCATATAAATTTTTATTTTAAATTTTTAATCATAATCATAATTTTTTAATTGTCGTCCTGTCCTGCGTCTCGCGCACGTACGGTTGCCTTTTGTGAACTAGCTTCCTGGTTTCATTCTTGCAGCAGGAGAAAGGACAGAGAAGGTCGGAGAGAGTTCTAGTGGGGATGCCGGCAGCCATCTTGGTCTCTACATGGACAGGAGAGCCGCATTCAGATTGCTGAAGGAAGAAGGTGGGTGCAATGCCAGACGTCCCAAGTGTCCCGGTCTCACCGGGATCGTCCCGGTGAGACATGCTGGTCCCGGCGTCCCGTTCAGAGTCCAGAAAGTCCCGGC